CAGACTGAAAATCGGGTTTGCAGTCTTGTACAAAAATCTAAAGACGATAAATCCTCTGAAGACAAGTTCTTGCCCTACGCTTGCTTTCTTAAATTATCGCTTCAAACACCTCTTTCGTTGACACCCATTCCCACAACATAATCCGAAGCAAAAGAATGTTTATTCGCTGAATGATGTCAATTTTATGATAAAGCTCGCACAAGTCGTAGTTCATCCGGATGGTGCGGTAGCGTTCACCAACTTGAAGAGGATTAAAGTTATTATGAAGAATTTTTTTCTCAAATACAGCAGTGCAGCAGTGATACAGCAGTATCAGTGCTGTGAATGTCAATATATGAAGGTCAATGCGATCCATAGAGCGTAATTTTTATCTGTCGAGAAAAACCTCTAAATCCCAATTATTTACTTAGGCAATAGTAGCACTTATGGGTAATGATAATTCTTTGTCTGACATCCAGGATGACTTTGTTGTTGTTAAAATTGGTTTTTGTTTTTTAATATTTTAACTTTTGTTTCATACGTTGTATTTTGTGTATCACTACACATGTTTCGGTAAATTCGTCTTTGCCTTCATCTGGAGAATTCCTAATATTGTTGTTATTATTTAAAGCGGTAACAAAATATATAAAATCCTCGATAGATTCTAAAGTATAGTAGATATTATTATATATTATTATGGTGAATATTGTTGTTTTGTGTTTTTATATTATAAATAAAATTTTAATAATTCTAAGGAAATTAAATAAGTCCATATATAACCTTGTAAATATTAATGTTTTTATGTTCAACTTTTTATTACCACATCTGTCATCTGCGATAAGTGAAAGTTAGCTATATTAGTTTATCTGTATTTTAGTTTTAAGTGAAAGGAAAGGAATTATTAGAAATTAATAGAGATTCATTGATTCTGTATAAACGCAGAATTATTGTTAAGATTAAGTACAATTATGCATTACTAATCCTAGTAAAGTAATTTATAAATATTATAAATGAATGAAATACATATTTTATTATCGAAATGTTAATTCAAATTTAAATATCGTAGACAATTGTACAATTTATTGCATTCATAAATTTTTTTAGTTTATTTACATTTTTTTTAATGTATTTTATTTTTACATTTTAGTTGAGTTTTTAGAATAATTTCGGAGAAACCAGTTTAATAAATTTAACAATAAATGCGCAAAAAACCGATCAAATTCGCACAATAAGACTTTGTCAACGCAAATGCGTCACAAAAATTTTTCTATTTACTGAATATTTTTCCACAATGTTTTCGGAACTTCTTTTGTTGTGATTAATTAATATTTCCGTAAACATTTAAAATATTTCTTAACACGTTAATTTCAAAATATTGTTTTGTCCAAAAAACACAAAACATTTGAAGACCGTAGTAAATGAAAGCATGTTGACATATTGACAATATCCAAATCATAATAAATTTAGTTTGATAAAATTGTTATAATAATGAAATAGGAATTAAAATGACATTTAATTATAAATATTTTATCGACGATCATATCATTCAAATAAATAGCAACTATTCAGATACTCACAAACATTTCAATTATCGAGCAACTTCAAACGAGCAACAATGCTGTCAACTTCAACAGCAAAAACATTAATCACAAACATCTGCGGATTATAGCGAAAAATTATACAAACGTAAATTATAGAACCTGTTCTAAATATATATATATGACACACCCACACACCCAGACACCCAGACAGCCACAGATATACAAAGATACAAGATACGTTCTTCAACAACAACTCGAGACTTTTTGTTGGGGATTCCGCAGCTGACGATTGCGACTATCAATGACGCATTAATTTATTCACGAGTCAACGTTTCTGAGACGAGTCAACGACTTGAAATTCGTAGACAATTGGATCGGATTGAACGTGAAGAACGGAAGTTCGTTAGCGATTAGGGGAGAGTAATTGTAGTAAGCGGCTAAAAATTACGTTTTCAAAGCCTTCGTTAAATTTAATCTTTTAGCTGTAGCGTTGATTGAGTGACTAAAAAGAAGCTTCAAATTATTTTTAGATTTAATTTTAATTTTATGTAAACCTAAATGAATTAAAAGATAATTGAATTAATTTTACGTTTGTTTTGATTTTGTTCAGATTTTTACTTAAGCTTTATTCAAGTACGAAGTTATTAAACAAAATTTAATTAGCTGTCGTATATGTGTGCAAAAATTTCATTGTTACTCATACGTTACGAAACATTAAGTATCTGCAATCGTTTTACTAAAGGTATCTTTGGAGAAGTGGCAATTCCATTGTTAAAAAATTCGCACTATTCTTTGTAGTATTTTTCAAATTACTTTTATTTTTTCATAATTACATTAGAAATAAAAGACTGTTTATATGTTTACGTTAAAGTGCAAAAATAATTTACTTAATTAAAGTTTTAAAAGTAATAAATTTTAATGTGAGGTCAATAGAATATTAAGACTAATTTTAAAAATTTTGAAGTATCATATTTATGTAATTTGCATGTTATTATTATTTTATAAACGTCTAAGAATCACGTTTATATATATATAATGAATTTAAACTAATTACTTTGAGAAAAAAGTAGTGGTGTCACATCTATGTTAATACAAATAATTTTTTTTTTTAATTGAAAGTCTTTTATTAATTAACAAATTTGGCTACAGTAAACAGTATGAAACTACTGAGCAGACATAAAATTTACAAAACCATAATTTCAATACAATGCACTTGTATAATTTTAAATATTATAGAGGACTTCAATATCTTCTGGTATAATGAACTTCTATATAAATTCATATATTCTACATAAATTCAGAAAAATACTGATTTTTTCATATGATGTGCTAAATGAAGAAATATTTAATTCATACAAAATCCCCTTTAGCGTTATACAGCTGATCTGCTCACCTCTGCGGAAATGTCTATTGCAACATTCGAGGACTATAAAGTAATCGATAACACACTTAAATCTAACAAAAACATTCACCCAATTATAAAACAGCTTAAATGACGTTAAACATTAAAACAAATCGTTCAAGTCAATTTAAGTAACGTATACTCCTTGTAAATATAAGTGTTTCCCGTATATTTGAATAACGCTTATTTACCTTAAAAATCGAGTACAAAATACCTTGGAATACACCAATATAAACTTCTCACTCAACAACACCATATTGTAATAAAATATTTAACATATGTTTTTATTAATAAACGATAGGTTACTTCGAAATTTTAAAATCAACACTCTATAAAAAGAAATCTACAGACAGAAAGAGAGATATTTTACCCATCTAGATAGTCAATCGAAGGTTGTAATACACGCACTTTTCAATTCATCACAAAAACCCCGATAAGTTTTTTAGAACCTTAGGCAAAAATAGATTAATTAATTGATAATATAATTAATTGTGGTTATTTATCTATAATCTAAATTTTGTGGTAAAAAAATAGACTTTACAATGCTGTAATAGCATTCCTTGAAAATATAACATAATAGGATTCTGGAGTCATAATGGAACAAGTACACTGGCTATTATAGATTTTTTGTATTAAACTGCATTCGTAAGATCTAATGTTTTTACAAAAAGTAACAATTTCCATAAACTTGGAAATTCCTTACGTTACTCGCTTTACTCATTTTAATTCCTTGAATTGAAAACAATTTTTAATGAATAATCGTAAAGCGACTTACAAACACAAGATCATACACCTTGTTTTTATCTACAGTTAGTTTACATATTAAAAAATATTATTCTTTTTATTAAGTAAAAGTATTTTTATTGAATAAAAAACAATTCTATTTAATTAATCATTTAAGTCCACTTACTGACTAAGTTGGCCCTAACCACTCGTTTCTGAATTTGGGCTTAACATATAGCAACATCCATCTTCAGATGCCTCTAATAACTTTATTAAGTATATCTCAAATCTAAAATTCTTAGTACAAAATCAAATTCAAATTTATTTTTAAATTTTTAATATCCATGTTATTATTAAATTGTTTAAAATATGTATTGAATATAAATAAATAGATCCGCTAGAAAAAATCAATAACAAATTCAGAAGTAATGGATGCACTAATGGATGCAATTTAATTGATGTTTTTAAAAACCTTTTTTTTTTTTAATTTTAAATTGTTATGCAAGATGTCATGTCTACTAATGACACCATTTTCTAGTTAAATGTAGTTACTCCGAAACCTGAAAAACGCATCAGATATTTATGCTGCCAACGTCACAAATAATGGAGTTGTTGGAACAGCATGCTCTGATGAAATATTCAAATAAACTTTCAAACAACAAATTTTATTATTAAAATATTAATATAATTTTATTTAATAATTACATAAAATAAATAAAATAAAATCTATGAATAAAAATATTTAAAAGAAAAATAATAATTTTTTTTAAATAGATATCTTGTAGATATGTAGAAGCTTCGAGCTTAATGTATTACTGATTCAATTTCGTCAATGGATTTATATTGCATATACTATTAATAAAATAATAAAAAAAATGTTTATATGTTTTAAGTTCTTAGTGAAGTATACAGTTATCAGTTACTTATATATTGTAATTTAAATA